TGCTGTTTCTACTTTTTAATGGCATAGCATATCATTCTTCGGATTATAGCAAAGTATGTCAGATACAAGATTTACTCTTGTTTAAAATACATGCAAACATGCACAAATACAGGGTGAGTTTTAGAATACCAGCTCGGTTCAGCGTTCACAAAGCCTTTCCTAGCCACTATAAATTATTATGAGGAAAGAAAGTGCTTAAAACTTTATTTCATTCTTCCCCACAGCCTGCATGAGATTTTTCAATCTGGACATCTATAAAAACTAATGATGCATGCAGAAAAAGAAAGTACACTACACATATCCCTGAAGTTAAGAAGAGATAAAAGCATTTAAGGAAAAAGAAGAGAAAGACACACACACACACACAAACACACACACACACACATACACAGAGAGGGGGGGGGAGGGAGAGAGAGAGAGAGAGGAGAGGGAGAATGTCATATTCATACTAGGAATCTTTCTGCCATTTTTAATGGAAATTCCATTCAACTGCTTATCAGAACTGTTAAAAAGTTAATTATTCACACAACCCCCCCTTGATAGTGGCTATACGGTGCTGATAAAAATCCAAGACTGGTATGGGTCTCCTCATAATGAACTTGCTCACACTATTTTCTTCTAACACAGCTAAGCACTAATCTAAAACACATATGCCTGCACATACTAAAACATATTGCCTGTATATATTGTCACATGACGTGACTTTATTTATTTTTTTAAAACCTAGGAAACTGGAAATATCAGCAGCAACGATTGTATTATTTCTCGTGATATCATCATGGCCAAAAGAGTTATGAAGTAATTTAAACATCATATATCAAGTAATTAAAGCTTCAAACTAAAAAAAAGCTGACATATAAATGCTTCTGTTACTAGTAGGTAATTTTCATGCTTGAAATGAAATTCCTAATATTACTTTAATGCTGAATTTTGAACATCAGTATAATTTAAGTGTGCATCTTAATCAGAGTGGTTTATCTGCCTATATACAGCAAATGTCTAACTTCCAGTTTCTGACAATTTGCATTATGATAATTTTATATGCTTAAGTGAGAGATGGAGAAGTTGATAAAAGTGTACATTTTTATGTCTGCAATGGATTTTACAACTTCTGTGAAGTAATGTACCATTCTTACACATTTATTATTTTTAAATTCTTCAATTATTGAAAAATATTAATGTTCAATTTCAGCTGTCAGAAATGAAAGCTGGAATTGAACAATATTTAACATTTTTTTCCAATGAATGTTCAATTACTTAGACTTCAACCATATTCGCTGTGGAAGTTAAACTTTTAAAGGAGTCAGTAGGCTTTTTCTTCAAGCCAAGTGTTTGACAATAAATGTGATTTGGCTTAGTTTAATGCATATTTTTCCAGATTGAAAATATAATCTCCAATGGGTTGCAGAACTTTTTCCATTCAATGTACAGGTGGATTTACAAGCATTCATTTAGTGGCACTGGAAAAAGTGACTTATGATTGGTCCCTGCCCTTACAACTGTAGCAGCATCCCAGTGGTGGGTTTCTACTGGTTCGTTCCGGTTTGGGTGAACCGGTAGTGGCAGCGGTGGGAGGCTCCGCCCACCCGCCTGGACGTCATCACAGACACTCTGCACATTCCGAACTGGTAGCGAAGATAAGAGGAACCCACTACTGCAGCATCCCCTTTGTTGTTTGATCAAAATTTGGGTGCTTGGAACCCAACCCAGCATGTATTTATGACAGTTGCAGCATCCCGTGGACATAGAATAGAATAAAGGAGTTGGAAGTGACCTTGGTGGTCTTCTAGTCCAACCCCCTGCTTAGGCAGGAAATCCTATACCATTTCAGACAAATGGTTATCCAACCTCTTCTTAAAAACTTCCAGTGTTGGAGCATTCACAACTTCTGGAGGCAAGCTGTTCTACTGATTAATTGTTCTAACTGTCAGGAAATTTCTCCTTAGTTCTAAGTTGTTTCTCTCCTTGATTAGTTTCCACCCACTGCTTCTTGTCCTGCCCTCAGGTGCTTCAGAGATCATGTGATCCCGTGTTCATGTGATCACCTTTTGTGACTTTGCCAGCCAACTTCCAACAAACAAAGTCAATGGGGGAAGCCAAATTTGCTTATCATTGCAGTGATTTGCTGCTTTGCTTAGCAACAGAAATTCTGGTCCCAATTGTGGTCATAAGTCAAGGATTACCTTGTCCCAAAGATGCTTTTTCAAGAGGTAACTGGACTTTCTGTTTTTTCTTTGAAGATGTTCCGCTTCTCATCTAAGAAGCGAAACATCTTTAAAGAAAAACCAGAAAGTCCAGTTGCCTCTTGAAAAAGCATCTTTGGGACCACCATGACCTGGATGACTGAGAATCTCCATAGAAATCAAGGACTACCTGCAGTACAGCCTGCTAATACATTATGCCTTCTCAAAATTGTTGTTTCTGATAAAAGAATTATGCTGGTTATTAATGAAGTGTATGATATGGAAGGTGGATGCAGTCATAAAAGCCTCGCTTAACTCAAAGATCTACTTCAACATTAGAACATCTCAGTGTGCACCAGTTACTAAAAGCTCCATGTACTGGTTTCAGTTGTCATACTCAAGCATACACAGCTAGAAAACCCTTTGCAATCCACTTTAGCCACTAAATAAAGGTAGTCCTCAACTTACAATTCATTTAGCGACGGTTCAAAGTTGCAACGGCACTGAAAAAAGTGACTTATGACCGTTTTTCCCACTTATGAGCATTGCATGGTCACCTGATCAAAATTCAGATGCAACTGACTCATATTTATGATGGTTGCAGTGTCCCAGGGTCATGTGATCCCCTTTACGATCTTCTGACAAGCAAAGTCAATGGGAAAGGCAGATTCGCTTAACAACTGTGCTACTAACTTAACAACTGCAGCGATTCACTTAATAAATATGGCAAAAAGGTCGTAAAATGTAGCAAAACTCACTTAACAACTGTCTGGTTTAGCAACAGGAATTTTAGGCTCAATTGTAATTGTAAGTAGAAGACTATCTGTAATGAGAAAAGTGGGCGTCTTATTTATTTTATTGAATTATGTGGCCAATTCATCTCACTTATTTGCCATTGCCACTTACAATGGCAAATAAATAGCAATAGCAATAGCACTTAAGACTTATATACTGCTTCACAGTGCTTTAGAGACCTCTCAAGTGGTTTTACAGAGTCAGCATATTGCCCCCAACAATCTGGGTCCTCATTTTACTGACCTCAGAAGAATGAAAGGCTGAGTCAACCTTGAGCCTGGTGAGATTCGAACTGCCAAATTGCAGGCAGCCAGCAGGCAGCCGAAGTAGCCTGCAGTACTGCATTTTAACCACTGTGCCACCGCAGCTCTTAAATAAAGATGCATATAATACAAAAAATAAAACATATAGTAGCTGGAAATCATAAAAAAGACTACCATTAATATATTTGGGGTCAGTTCAGGAACAAACCAAGTTTTTAAAGCCTTACAGATGGCAAAACAGAAATGGGGTCAATTTAATCTCAAGGGGAATCATGTTCCAAAGGGCAGGTGTCATGGCAGAAAAAGCTTTCCTTTTGGGTTCTGCCAGCCAACCCTCCTTATCTGATGGCACACAATAACGACCATCGCTGCTCATCATTTTAATGTTAGCCATCAAATAGAATGGGTGGGTTTTTTTTTTAATGCTTTGGGGTTGTTTCCTTTTTTCCACCTAGTTTATTTTATCCTGCTCTTAAATGCAGAAATGAACAGCTGAGCCAGAAAAAAAAAAAAAGGAGAAACAGAAAAGCCAGAAGCCTATTTCCTTCCATTCTGGTTGATGAAATAAAACAGAAGGATGCCAGGAAGGTGCAGCTTGTGTCTTTCCAATATCTAGAGTCAAGTACTATTGTCGTTTGCAAGGACTTTGAAGAAGCAGAAGCCCGCAGGAAGATTCTTATATTAGCTAGTAGGGGGGGACGCTTATGCCATTCTTGTCCAAATGTATCCTCTGATTTTCTGTTATCTAATTACCTTGATTGTTTACAGAGCTCCACTAATAAGCAGCTGCCATTCTTCTGTGTTTCTGTTCATTATTTTTGGCCTCTTGTACGAAATCTGTGACAAGGGTTGTTTGTGTACATTAGTAGTCTTTGTGCAAGGGTTAGGCTGAAAATGTGACAAATAGCATATCTATCTGAATCAGGTTCATTTTTTTTTGAACCACTAATAACCAGATTGGCCTGGACTCAAACAGACACAAAGCACTGCAATTCTGGACAATTGATGGGATTTTTGCATCTCCGTTCAGTGTGTGGGGGAAAAGACTTGTATTTCACAAAAGGAAAGCTTCAAGGGTTCAATTTGCCTTTTATCTTTTGTAGTTGCTGCTTTCTAGTTCTGTGCTGTCACAGTCTTTACTTTTTCTGTGCCCGTGCTGGGCTTCTTGATTCTTCTCTCCTTCCAAATCTTAGCCCTTTCTGAGGGAAACAGCAGGGGTAACTTTTCTTTCACACCAGTTCTGAGAGAAGGAAAGAAATGCCCCCTCCTCTCTCTCCTTCCTTCCTTTCTTTTTCTTTCTCTCTCTCTCTCTGTCTTTATTTCTTTCTCTTTCTTTCTCCCCCCCTCTCCCTCCTTCCCTCCCTCCCTCCCCGGTTTCCTCAGCCGCTACCTCTTTCTCATCAGGCCTGTTATCTTAGTTAGTGTTTAATTGATTCCTGGGCTTGGGCTCTGTTGAATCAGCTTCTTCTTCACAAGGCCTCTGGTGGAAAAACTCCCAGACAGCCATCTTGTCTTCCTCCTCTCTCCTGCCTCTTTCCCATTTGATTGGCAGCCAGGTTGTCCTGACAATGGGGGAAGGCCACATTGGGAGGGGGAGGAAGGAAGGAGCAGAGGGGCTTTTCATCTCTTCAGGCAGTCCGTCCTTCCATACAATTGATTACTAAATCTATTTTACAATAAGTTATAGCCCACAGAATGGAGTAAAAGATTTGTCATGAGATAGCACTTGAATTAGGCATTGGCACTGTTTTTTTTTTACCCTGACACTGCTTTGAATGTTCAGCTAGAGCCCTGAAAAATCCATGAGGAGCATCTCTGGCTATCTCTATTCTCTCTCTCCCCCCACCCCATCCCACATACTTCTTTAGCAATAAGCACAACAAATACTCATTACTCCTGTCCTCAAGGAAAGAGCCTGAAATACTCTTTGCTGTGTCCTGCAGAAGGAGGAAGCAAGGAAACCCTGGGAAGTCCAGCACAATGGGATGAGTGTAGACTGGATGAAAATTGAATGTGGTTATATGGCTATCTCATCTTTGTCTTCCCTCTGATAATTTTGAAGGGACTATTCAAACTAAGAATGAGGTGGGACCATCTCCATATCTTAAATATGGGAGTGATGATACTTAGCAACCAGCTAGGAAAAGGATGTTATTTAATTAATTTAAACTTTTCATATCCTAATGGACACCATTTAATTAGGATTGCTGATCAATAATTGCCCCTTCGAGTTCTTATAAAATAAGGGTTAAAAAGCTTAAAACAGTGAGCATCAAATGCAGCAGGTACAATTATTTTTATAACGTTAGCATCCATCTTGAAACAAACAAGATATTATGGGGAAAGAGGAACTGATAGCATTTGTTGTAGAAGTCACATATTGGATGTCAGCACAGTGACAATACAGTGCAGGGCAGTTACACAACTAGGGCAAAAGTAAACCATCTGATTTAAGAAGCACAGAATACAGTCACACATTCAGCTCTACAACTGGTAATCAGCAGCATTCTAAACATAAGGATGTCTGCTTATATATTGCTGCAAATATGGTGTTATTTCTTTGATGCAAAACCTCTATATAAGAATATTGATTCGAGAAATGTTTAAGGAATCTTAATTAAGCTACTGCAAAAAGCATTTTATTTAACTGTAACGTAAAATAATTATTCCCTCAATTTTCTTCTGTTTTAAAGAAGTTTTTTTTAGGTCAGATCCATTTGCTACAGTCTGCCTTACATACATATTTGTGGTGGTCAAAAAGATTCTGAACATAATAGCAATTACACAGATTTAAAAAGAACCAACCATCTGCTCAGGGAAAGAATTTGGAGCTGATTTTGGAATCACTAAAAGCAATAAACAGTGCTGTGTTATGAAGTGTACAAAAATGTCGTATGATCTCTGCTGTCCTATGGCATATATGCAAACATACCTTTTGTTTTGCAATTAATGGAAACCACCTCTTGTAGATTAATAGTGTCACATGATGCCATTTTTAGAATGTTATGATTTTTCAGCTTTATTATTTTTTTAAATATATTCTGCTTTTAATACTTAAACTCTATCAGCTGCCTAGAGCTGGTTGTTTTGGGTGCTCTGATAACATTTATAAATAAATAAATCTTATCTCTTACAGCTCTTATACATGTGACTGTAACAGTTATATGAATATTATTTCTTGCCAGCAGACAGGTTTCAATGTACTTTGCTTGCACCCTTATTTGCACATTTTGTGCTTGATTAACTAGAGTTGGTTAGTCAATATGAATACCAGCTCCCCAGTGAAATAGTGTTGCTACTTTTATTTGTAGATCAGAGGTTAAACAATCTGGTAATTTCCTAATAGTTAAAGCCAGCAGAAGCAACTGATGAAGAGATTTAACAGGCTCCCCAATTTTTTGGTAGTCACGTTTAGAATTCCAGAATGGTGTACTATCAGACCAGCTTTTTGGTTGCTGTGACTGTGAGCTTCTCCTTATTAATCTTCTAGACTAGTACCAAGGATGCTCTCTACTGTTTGTGTTTTATTATTTTTTTTCCTGAACACTTAGCCCTAAGATCCAGGCACCCATCATTTTATTCTCAGAACAACTCTGGAATTTAAAAAAGGATTCACTATATTCTGTGAAATAAAAATTATGTTTAAGAGTGTATCTACATAGTAGCTGCTCATTTTTACACACATTCACACAACATGTATTAATAGCCTTGTGGGTGCTAAGGCAGATATCACCTGCCACACTGATGCCCCTGATGAAAGTTCAGTATGTCTGTTTCCAAAGAAAAAAATAGATTATGACTTTAATTATAGAATAGGAACAGAGTTCATGGCTCATTGGCTTCTTTTAAACCGTTTAAGCATGGGACTTGTGTATATGTCTCCGTGTTGTATAATACACTATTGAAGCAATAACCCAAGATTATTGTTTTACTTCTGCCATAGGGGATTTATAACTAAAAATGTTAGGGTTTGACATCTAGTCACAATCATGCTGCAAAAGGTAAAAAATGATACAATAAAGAGTAATGGCAAATGAGATTTTAGAAGTGATGGCTAAAATTCATCTGTCACAACAGAAGTGGGATTAATACATTTCTGTGCACAAATGGTACAGTACCTTGTTTGTTGTTCTTCATTAAATCTACCAACATTTCCCCTCCAGTTCCAAAATCATTTGTTTCATGTTCTAGCTCCATTTCGGTATCACTGCTACTGCTAGCAGAGTAAGTGCACACTCTCAGTGCCCTGTCCTGTACAAAACAACATATAATTCCTTGACTCAAAACAGAAAACATTTCACCAAAAGCAGTGAGTCTGGAGTGCAGGCATATAAGTAAGCCATTTTCTATCTTTTTCACCCAAACAATTTATTTAGCTGCTGCCATTTGTTACCAATTATCTGATTAAATGTCACAATCCGTGAACTTTCTCCCAGCAGAACCTAAATATTAAAACCAGTTTGTGCACAATCCAGCTACAGAATCCACCTTGCTTTAATGTTATAACAATGCATTTGAGTAAAAAGGATCCATGAAGAGTTAGTGGCAACCCAGGAATTCAGAGTGGGTCATTTGCCTGTTTTTCCTGTGGGGTATGAAATAATCATCCCATCAAATCCCTGAACTGACAGAAATGAAAGCAAACATTACTCTTGGGTGAGGAATAACTTTGGGAATATTTTGGATGTTTCCTGTATTATAATTTTATTGGGTGGCATTTATATTTTTATTGTTTTAGAGATATTCATTTCTTAGGGTTATAATTTTTAATGCTGTGAGCCACACAGAGACATTTCGTTACGAGATAGGTGACCAATAAATTCAATAAATACATAAATAAAATATTATTAAAGAAACATAAAGTCGGAGGGACCTTGGATATCATCTAGTACAGTGGTCCCCAACCTTTTCGGCTTGGTGGCTCAGTGGGTGTGGGGTGGGGAGAGGGAGTGGTAGGCATGTGTGCAAGTCGCAAACAGCTCCATTTGCACACGCACGCACTCACCCACTGTTTGTGCGGCCCAGTTCTGAAAAGGCTGAGGCTCACTAGTGGACCGTGGCCTATGGGTTGGGACCCCTGATCTAATACAGTCCCTATCCAGTGCAAGAATCCAATTCTGCAGTGTCTTCCTATGAAACAATGTGTACTGTATTGCGGTAGGGAACCTGAATCAATACCATTCCCCAGAGGTACAATCTTCTGTAAGCATTATTGTTTTTCTTTGGTTTGTGCTAATCATAATGCTATACTGAGTTTTTCTCATAACTATCACCTGTTGAGTTTGATGGAACTGAGACAATAGTGATTGGCTCAGAGACATCTAGAGGTTTCTGTGGCTGAAAGTGGTTGAAGTTACAGTGGTTAAGGTGTTGGCTTAGAAACCAGGAGCTGATGAATTCTAATTCTGCCTTAGGCATGAAAGCTGGCTGAATGACTTTGGCCAATAACTCTCAGCCCATCCACTTCACAGGGCTGTTGTTATGGGGAAAATAAAAGGAGGAAGGAGTATTAAATGCATTCATCACTTTGAGTTACTTATAAAAATAATACAGGCAAGATAAAAATCTAATAAAACTTAGGTCTTCCACTCAAATCCAATACGTTAATAACCCCACTCCCTGACTTCACCTCACTATTCTAAAGGAAATGATTCAGACTATTATCTTAAAAGACTATAGATTTATTCTAATTCTTTATTTGGCACAATGCAAATAATTGTATGATTGTAGTTTTCAGTATAGCTTTTTTTAAAAAAAATATGATGCAGGGTAGACATGTAGTATCTTCTTGGTGAGATTCTTCTCTTTTTTCCAAAGGAAATTCTGAGTTTGATCACAAAAATGCAATGGGCTTTTCTTTTACTCTTTCATACAGTCCAGGTTTCTAAGAGAAATCAACCCAGGTATTTTTCTCTCGGAGAAGAAAATATAACTGCTTCATATATCCTTTGCACTTCAAAAAAGGAAAGCAGCTTTGGATGAAGGCAACTTTGATTCGGAAAAAACATTATAGCAAAAAATTTAAACATTCCTATCTTCACTGCCTCTTTTATCAAATTCAAGGCTGCTAACACTTGCAGAAAAGAAAATAACAACAGCACAAAATAGTCTATGTATTTTTCAGATTAAACTTTGGCCTTCAAATTTTCTTGCAATTGACCTCAGTTTCCTGGAACATAGTAAGAGGCAGAATATGATCACTTTTTAAAAAGAGATAGTATGAAACTATAGTAATCAGTGCCTACAAAAAAGGAAAATGAATTTCTACTGTATAGTGTTGGGGATAACAAAGGATTGATGTCTTCAGTTGATAGATTATTTGACATCAAGTCACAAATTATTCCCCTGTAAATTAACTGTGCAACCAATAATAAAAATTATTTGTAAATATTGTAAATGAAAAGGGAAAGCACATATAGCGTATTAATGCTAATAAATATGCATGATATATTACTGAACAGAACTTCAGTTGAATATAAGTTTATTTTGGTACACCTACTGCTACACAAAATATTCAGCAATAATGTTATTTTACCACTCTTCTCTCTGTTAAACAGCTCACATCTTCTATGGAAATGATGAGAGACTAATGGATTTGGCTTAAAAACAGAGGTAAGGTATTTCCTTGCCATGACCCTTATTGGGTGTTGGGTTTTTCATGTGAATTAGTGAATCATAAGATTCTGGCTTATACCAAGTTTGACCTTAAGTCTGTCTTGCCATTTTTTCCCCCATAGCATGGAGAAGCCAGGGTTGAACTTGGGACATTCAGAATACAATCCATCAATCCACCAACTCTAATACTGTGTTATAAGCAAATTCCAAATGTAACTGACATCAAAGAGTTTGTGAGAACGAAGTGGGATAGCAGATAATCACTTAGGGGATGGATAGAATATAAATTTGAGAAATAAATAAACTCTGAAAAATAAACCAAATACTTTCAAAATCTTTTACATTTATACCTTGGCTTTGATAACATTCTTGCTGCTCCAGTCTGGAAACATCTTTACGTTGTTACATTTTTCTTTTTCTGAATCATCTAATGATGCTGAAGCCAAACAACTTGATTCTTGACTGTTGTTTTCCACAGGATCTGTTACTCCTGGACAACAAAAAGAAATGGAACATGGCCTCTTGGATTTTGTTTGCATGTAAGGATCAGATTCATTCATGAATTGACTGATTACACTATGGTCATGGGAAAAAGAGAGGACAGTGGCTTGCAGAATGCTACAAATGCAGAACATCTTCACATTCTTCTTTATCCGGAAAACATGCAGTCATCTCTGCCAGAAGACATTTACCAATAAACTGGATGTTAAAGTAAATGCAACGAAATGTCAACATTTTTTATAAACGAAATCTCTTCCCTTTCAATAAATTTGAGTAAAGAAGACTGTGTGGGAATCTCGTTTCTTTATTGTAAGCTGCTGCTAAGGGCTTGATAACTCCATTTCTACCAAATGGAGGAAGAAGAAGTAGACAAAGTTAACCTGATATAAATTCTACAAGCCAAATCACTTAATATCATGGATCATATTTCCTACATTATAAAAAGGGCATAATTCTCAGCCATCCTTATTGTTAGGGATGTGCAAGAAGAACACATATAGCCTCCAATTATAAATAAAATAAAATAAATTGGCAGTGAAATCACAATGATCTATGGGTCCTGACCATTTTTTTAATGGAAAGTTTGAGAAAGGGAACCATCAGATGTAGATTTTCCAACTGAGAGCAAAAGAACGAAACAGTAGGAAAAAAATCTCTTACCACAAGTGTTCTTAGCCAAATAATTTACTCTTTTTCAATTGAACAACTTGTAGAACAAGAGCACATGTAAATCATAGTGCTTTGTAAGATTCACTGTATGCATGCATATGGGAGGGAAAAGAGAGATTGGTAAGAAGATAACATTTGAAAGTGGGAATGTTGCCCTCCCAATCTGCAGTATACCAGGCTTTTTTTAAAAAAAAAAATATCTTCAAGACAATTTAATTAAGAAACAGACCGTAGAAGGCTGGTGCAGTGAATATTAGCATTAAGATCAGGACAATCTTACTGCTACTGACTTCTTATGAAGCAATTCAGAGCTTGCAGTTCCTATTCAATTTGTTATAATGACAGTGTTTAATCATGGAGTCTTTTCTATAGCACGCTGCTGAACTGAGGTCACACATGTGGCTATTCAAGCATGTAGCATATAATCTATAACTAAGATTTCTGTTCTAAATCTCCTTTAGTTGTGCTATTAATTAACAATACACTTTTTAAAAAAAACAGTTTAACTTAAAATACCTTTTCTTTAACTACAATCTGAAATGAGCAGGGGAGTTTCCAATGTATCATGCAGCATGTATTTGCATTCTGTTATAAGCATACAAACCTGTATTAGGAATATTACTAAATCAATTAAATTCCAGCATATTTAATTAGAATGTGTCATAAACTTCCAAGAATCTTTAATGCAGCTTATTTAGTCATCTGTTCAATTTGAATATTGACACATTAGCAAAACATTATTTGGGAGTCTTGCAGTAGATTTCTAATTCTCATTTGAATGTGCCAGTGGATAAAAGGTCAGCTTTGCCAAATAATTGTGCAGTCTGAACATGTTAAGGTACTCTTCTGTTTTAAACATTTTTTTTCTTTTATGAAGTACATGGGATCATGATTAAAATATTTTAAAAAAAATAACATTTAGCACATGAGGTTCATGTACCTCTGATGAACTTGAAAAGGGCAGCCTTTTATACTTCTCAGTAAAATGTCTATGGAGATTCTCAGTCATCCAGGTCATAGTTGTCCCAAAGGTGCTTTTTAAAAGGCAACTGGACTTTCTTATGGTTTCCCTCCCTTGAAAAAGTTTCCTCAATTCAACTTGAATTGAAGAAGCTTCTTGGATGAGAAGCGAAACGTTTTCAAGGGGTAGAAAACCTCCAATAAAGTCCAGTTGCCTTTTGAAAAGCACCTTTGGGATTCTGAATAAATGGTTAAGCTATTTCTAGATGTAGATGTATGCTTTATATAACAAGAATCATCAATGGGGTACTTTCAAGAGCTTGCATTGGCATTTACAACAAATCTACCTGGACTGGTCACATAGGACATGCATGCACATACACCCATAAACATTTTTAAAGTAAAAGCTCTCCCAACTCTGGAAAATCTTCAATTTGCTTTTGGCTACAGCTTAAACTTGTCCTGACGTAGCTTTGACATTAGCCACAAGGTATTTAAAGACACAGTGTGGAAGAGTAAGCTGCTGGAACAAAATTGCAGGCACCTCTGCTCCCTTCTTTTTCTCCTATTTGAGCCTTTCTCCCAGCATCAGCCTAGCAGAATTGCCATTAAAGCTGCAACCTTGGCACAGGTGTGGTAGGAGGTGTGTGCTTTGGAGCTCTGCAGCCACCCGCAGAGTACAGTAGCAAATTGAATGAAGGTGGTTTTCCTTCAGCAGGAGTGGATGCTCCGAAAGAGAGGAAAAGAAGTATAAAGGCTCAGCTAGATAAAGCACAACATTTTTTTAAAAAAAAGATGCAAGAACTCTACATGGTGGCCATTAAGAGAAAAAGAAGAAATCTTAGGGCAGGGGAGGGGGAGGGGAGGGTGGAGACACTTAAGACAAAACAGACTTAAGACATAAATGTTGATGCATATTAGCCATAATATGGAGCACAGTGCAGGGGTGAAATCCAGCAGGTTCTTACAGGTTCTGGAGAACCGGTAGCGGAAATTTTGAGTAGTTCGGAGAACTGGCAAATGGGGGTGGGAATGGAGATTTTGCAATATCCTTCCCCTGGAATGTGGTGGGAATGGAGATTTTGCAGTATCCTTCCCCTGCCATGCCCACCAAGCCACACCACACCAATCAAGCCATGCCTACAGAACCAGTAGTAAAAAAAATTTGGATTTCACCACTGGCACTATATTGACTAGTAATAATATAGATTATAATATGAACATTGTCAAATATAGTAATTGTCACATAATTATCATATAATTATCATACATATCATATAATTATGTGCTTGTTTTTAGAAAATAGTACATCCCTCTAACCCTTATAGGGAGATAGAAAGAAACCACTTGTTCAGGGCCCAGTATGTTTGTGTCTCTCTGGATCAGGCTAACTGTGTACAGTTTAAAAAAGAACTTGTAACAAGTGCTGTGTCTTCTTTATAAGACAACATTCAGCATCATAACATCTCCATTTCACTGGAATCCCCGGCTTGTAAAACACCTACAGTAATGCAAGAAGTCTTTTCAGCTGCATTTTTCACACATTTTTCCACAATGTTATCTGCTAGGAGGCCTCTGCTAATGAAAACTGACAGATGGACACAAAGCATCTCATTTGCAAAAAACAGAAGCTGTCATTTTACCTGAAGAAGCTGCTTTCGGAAGATGACTCTGCAAAGCCTGCACACCTCTATCAGCCATCGCAGGATCTGATGCCGAATGAGAAATTACACTCTCGACAGATTCCGGGCTTTTATTAGTTGTTGAAGGCACTTCTCGTTCTAGGGTTTGGGCTTTCTCAGATGGAGCCTGAGGAAAAGGTTGCTCGGGTGACATGAAATCTTCATTTTCTAAATCCAGTCCTTGTTTAGAAACATGTCGGCCTGTTGAACGGTTTCCTGAGTCTGGAAGAGGAAAGGTTCCTATTCCACTGTCCAATGTCCTCATTTGGCAGCAGGATTCTAAAAGGTAAGAAGAGAGGCTACTTTCAATGAAAAAGACCAAGCATAACAGAGGGCACCTTGAAGAAAGGGCTTCTGGGTAAAGGAAAGGGCTACAGCTCACAGGTTTTGTACATACATCCCTACCTGGGACTATTTTAAAATGAGATAAGGCCTTTAAAACTGAGAAAAATTATATATTCTAAAAGAAACCCATCATGCACTTTAACCCAAGGCCTGAGGAATGAGCCAAATCTTTGACAAACTTTTAAATGAAAGCAGGGGAGAAGCCATGGGGAATTTCTGGAGAAATGCGGTTCCTGAGGACTGGCAGAGCATAGACAAAGCATGCTTCCTGGATCCCATCAGAGCACTCTGTCTGAGCAATGGGATCTGCAGTAGTCCAAATCTGTCTGATTTAATAGTACAGGCAGAAACTGCTGGAGATAGACAGTCCCTCAGATAGTCAGGCCGTAGTCCATGGACCAGACCTTTAATTGCAACTGTAAGTTACTAACAACTAGAACAGCCCACAAAGTATTACATTGTTAAGCAAAGGTGAGCCTTTTATTGCCCATGCCACTGCATTCTGAACCAGATGAAGCTTCCAAGTGATTTTCAAGAGCAGGCCCCTCTACAGCCTATTGAAATCATCCATATAGAAGTGTCTAAGGCATGAATCACTGTCTGGATAGCCTCTCGATTCAAGAATGGACATAACTGACACACAAGGTAAATATGTGTGAAAGCCTTCCTAGAAACAGCTGCCATCTGCTTTTTAAACAGGTGATGTGCATCCTGGAAAAACCCCAGATTGTGCACCAGTCCTGAATAAGAAAGTACTACCTCATCCAACACTAAAAATGAAGGTTCTTCAGGGCCAAAACGACTGAACTCACAACAGTTCAATCTTGACAGAGTTGAGTGTGAGTCATCAGCTCCCTCATAGCTTGCAAGCATTGGGAGAAGACTTCTAACAGCATCCCTCAGAGAGATCATACTGATTTATTCCAAAATTGGATAACCAAGCAAAAAAGGAATCAGAAAATGATCTACATATAATAAAAGATTGATAGCAATGTTCTACAAGGTCAGCTCACAAAAACTATATCTAAAGGTATATATCATGCCCTTAAAGATTTGGGTCAGCGTCATGGTGGCCAAGAACAGAGTTGGCCCAAACTCTGAGTCACCCCGGGTCACCGCACAGCCTCAGTTGAACTATAAAGCCTTTTCTTTTTGATAATCTTAGTATCCAACCTAGTCAAATAGTCTGATAGTACAACAAAGCTAAGTACAAAGCAAAACAAAATGTCTGTTCTGTAGCTACCAGATCTGTCCATTACCTAATACTACTACTAATCCAAGTTCAAGTAGAGGCATTCTTGGAAAAAAATTGAAGTACAGACCATATGCAAATTAGATGTTCCACTTTACTGCCATCTACATTAAAAATTGAAGTAAGGAATGGAGTACAAATTAGTGAGAACTGTTGCATAGCCAGCTTTGGCCTATATGAGTAGTACAGATCCAGTACATTTCAATATACTCTGAAATTTGATTTTACTTTTTTATTTTATTTATCAAATTTATTTGCTTCCCAATCTTGCCATGGGGCTATTCTGGGCGTCTTACAATAGTAAATGGAAAAAAAATGATAGAAATGTAAACATAACATTAGTAAAGAAATGAAACTTTAAAAATAAGCAATGA